TCCATTTTCTAAATTGAAAGCAATTCATACAAAGTAAAAGTAATAAATAGATTCAGTGGGGAGGCACAGGTAAAGTGGGTAACAATCAGTGTTGCCACCTGCTGGTTTTCGCCAGTCTCATAATGACTAGTATTTTTCCTATAACCCCAGAGGAGTCAGTTAAGAATAACACTAGAATCTCAGTGTTACGTTTTTTTCTAAATGAGTTTTTACCCTTCATGATTGTAGACAAAAGTTTGAAAGCATGAAGCTCAGTAATGAGTTTGGAATGCTTGTGGTGGGTAATCCAAAACATGGTTACACAGACATCCTCAGCAAAATGGTTTAGAGTCACTTACGAAGGAATCAATTTGTAAATTGAATTTAAGATAAGTATATACAGTCTACTCACTTATATGCAAACCAGAAAATTCACTTAGTTGCATAACAGCATCAATCCCATTGGTTGTCTCTTGCTTACATTATAACAAGTATTCCCTGCATATCAATTAAGTGCAGAAACCATTGAAGTCTGTACTACAATTTACTTTCATGTTAACTGTGTAATAATTGTAATTGTCAACACTGGAACTAATTGTACTCTGTTTCATGGAGCCAGAAACAGTGAGGGGTGAGCAGCTGTGAGACAGCTGCTCTTAGAAGCCCTAGAAATGATGGGAGTAGTCAACTGTGTGGCTGCTGTCTGCCCTTATTTTTAAGGCTTCCTACTGTTGCCATAAAATCTACTAATTCTTGTCATTATTGGCACAACCAGTACAACAGCACTGACCAAACTATACACAGTGCTTAAGTACACAGCGCTATCTACACTGTGTTGTAGTGTGGTGTGGCATGGTGTGATGCAGTGTGGTGTATCATGGCTTTTACCACTTTCAAGGCTTCTAGTAGTCAGTTTGGGAGCTCCCATTAGGCGTTTTAAAAATGATGACAAATTCCAATTTGCTAATACCACAGCACTGTGTACTGTTTATGTTAAGAGTGTATAAGTGTATATTTTCGGTGAGCACTTTCAGTCCTAAGAGTAGGTACTTACACGTAGTGCATTGTAATACACCTGCTCGTTCGTAAAGAAATAATGCCTTGTATTGATTTTTCTCATGTAAACTCTTGTGAACACAGATTCATGGGTTTGTGCCCTGTTTTGAATTGCAAATTGTGCATGCTTAAAAATCTGACTCTAATCTGGGCTCCCTTCCCCCTGCCCAAGCCTCCTGACAGCCATAACCAGTAGCTGAAGCAGGAGCAGTGTGGGTTCGTATTTCCTCATGCTGGGAACCAGGGCTGGGGGGAGGGAGTCCCCCGCACTGGTGACCTGGTGCAGGTCCCCCAAAGAGCTCAGACAGCAAGCTATGGGAAGACTCTTGTGGCAGGGAGGGCTCCTTTCCCCTACCTGCAGCCAGCAGCAGAAGCTCCCTCATTCACTACTTTTTGCTATGCTGGTGGGGAGGGGGTGGAAAAGGTGCCCCTCTGCCACAGGGGAACCTGGCCCAGCCCACAGCAACACCTGAGCTGGGATGCTGGGGGAGAGGGGGTGCCCAGAAAGAAGGGGGCTCCTTTTCCAACCCCCCCACCAGAGTTTCCGGCACAAGGAACTTGCACAGTTAGGGGAAAGGAACCTCCCTGCCAGTTGCCACCCCCCCAGCTACTTCTCCCCCCCGCAGTGATGCTGGGCTACAGTAGGTGGGCTCCTTTCCCCCAGCTGCAGGAAGCAGCATGAGTTCCCAACACCACTTTTCCCCACCCTGGAAACTTGGGGAGCGGAGGGGAGCATGGAGCACAGGCCCTGCCATGCCCCCACCAAGACCCAAGCTGGGAATCTAGGGGTGGGCCTTCCTTGCAGCGGGGCTTCTTTTCCTCCCCCCTGCAAGAGATCCCAGTGCTGCACAAAGTGGCAGTACTCACGCTGCCATTTCTGGCTGCAAGTTGGGGAAGGGAGGCCCCCTCCCCTGCCTCCCAGTTGTGAGGACCTCCCTACAGCTTGCTGCCTGGGTTGGGGGATGAGTCCGCACAGCAGGGGGGCTTCCCTCCATTTCTTCCCCCAGTTGCTGTTGACAGTTCCCAGCTGGTTGGGGGGACAGGGCTGGGGAGGGGGCACTCCAGCAGCATCCTGGGACACCAGTGGGAGCACCCCCTGCCTGCTGGCCTTGGCGAGCGCAGGTAGGCACCAAACCCTGCTCCCCATCAAACAGCACACATCTGTTCAATGGGCCATACTCTAACTTTAAGTACAACAGAGCACTTTCCACCAGGGGCTTTTTGAACCCCTGTACTTAGCCTTGAGTGAGGAGCCAATTTTTGTTTCCCCGTGAAATATGATGGCTTTGTTTACTAATGGAGATTAAGGCTTGGTTAATGAGAATTAATCCCTCATATTGAATGCTTGTGCATTTGTGCATTAACACTTCTAAGCATATGCAGAACAACAAATGACAATTTCTGTGCTCATGGAATATATCCCACATACATTGGTCTCTACCCTTGTCCTTTCCTAGTGGGGAAATACAAAGCTTCTCATTCTATATGGGCACCTGTTTTTTAGAAGTTTAGACTTGTATCCCCAAAAATACTCACTGCTGGCATAATTCTCCTATGTTGACTTCAGTGAGGAAGAGTTATGCAGAGGGATTTTGGTTTTGGTTTTTTGGCTGGGTTTTTAAAATCTATCAGTATATTATAATTTAGTCTAGTCCTAGTTATACCTGGGTGTCAATTTATCAGCAACTTACCTGGTAATTGAGGTATGACCACCCAAGGTAAAACTTTCTATAAAAAAGATTAAAGGTGCCACGCAGTTACTGCATCCAGCAAATTATTAAGAGAATTATATTAGATAAAGCACCTCTTTATCTAGTAGCAGAAGCGCTGCAGTCCCTTTGTGTTCCAGAGCTATCATATGAAAAGAAAGACACCCAGCTTGCTGTTGCAAGCCATGTAATGCTGTTGATCAGTTTGCATTAGTGATTTCCTAAGTTAGACTGGAACAGGAAATATAAAAAATAGGGCAGAGAGACTTATGCAGAATTCTGGAGAGAAATGTGACAAGGGAAATGAGTCTCACCTGACATTTCTGCACCCCATAGGCTCTTTGTTACTACCTCTGTTTAGGGGAACAGGATTATATTTGCTTTCCTAGGATCAGCGAAAATAGGATTGGAAGAGACCTCAGGAGGTCATCTAGTCCAGGCCCCTGTTCATGGCAGACTCAGTGTGCTGCTTGCTTCTTCTTGCAACCGGAGTACACTGCTGGCTCACCCTCACGTCCTTCTCTGTAGTACTGCAGCCTAGCCAGTCATTCTTCAGTCTGTATTTTTGCTTGCAGTTATTCTGTCTTAAGTCCAGGACTTTGCAGTTGTCCTTGGTTGGATTTTATCTGCTTGATTTTTGGACCATTTCTCCAGTATATTTGGGTCATTCTAGATCCTAGCTCTGCCCATCAATGTGTCTGTAACTCCACCCAACTTGGTGTCCCCTGCAAGGTTAACCATGCACTTAAATTTGCTAAGTGACACTTAGTAAGTGTGCACTCAGTCCCATCCGCCAAATAAATAAGCTCTGTAAATAAACAATTTGCATTCAGAGAATCTAACTAGCTCCACATCACAGATTTCTACTTTCAAAAGATCCTGACCCAAAAAGCTCTAAGTTATGTTAATACATACCAGAGAGGTGGTAAGGTGAATCCATAAGTTATTAACATCTAGATTAGTATTATATAGTATAAAATAATACAGATTTAATTGATCACATTACTTTTTATTGATCTTTTTATGCTGTAGAAATTAGAAAAATACAGTGCATTTCTTTGGCATTATGAACTCCTGTCTTCTGGTTTCTACATTGTGGTCAGAGATCAGACCCTGGGATCTCCAGCTGCTTGCTTGTTTTGGCTGCCTGTATAGAGCAAATTTGTTTTATTTGTCCTTTCCACAGGATTTCCCCAACAGGAAGTAATAATGTGCCTATAGAGCCAGAGATTTCCTTACAAGGTGTATAAAGTACAAGGAAGTTTTGATTCAAGTAATCACAAGTACTGAGTAATAGAACTGCTGATTCATAACAGTATTTTGCGGCGTGTGGTAGTGATATAACAGATAGTCAGCTGTGTGACTCTTTAAAGATAGAACAAATATTCAGTATTTTTACATCTTGTCTTAAACATTTCTCAGAGATTTCCTGTTGCCCTCAAAGGGTGTAGATCTTGAAATGGGAAAAACACTCATTGTTGTCAGTGAGATCAGGGTTCAGGCCCAGGGACGTTGCATGATATGCACTTATGCTAGATAATGTTCGCGTACAGTTGCTCCTTCTAAGCTCATCAATCAGCAGTTAGGTTTTAGGTAATATGATCCAAACTGTACTAAATTCAATGTGTTGTTTCAAATGGGCAACATCTCTTGCTTGGTTATTTATAGATGACATACCTTTACTTCTGCTTTGTTTCCAATCATTTCTGGCCAATCATTCATTGGCCAGCTTTGAATGTATTTGTTTTTGTTGTATTCTACTTCGAAACGTCAGCACTTGAAATAAATTCTGGTTCCAATGTAGTCTGTGGCAAAAACTCCCAGTAACTGATGTTATGGGAGGCCTCATTTTTAACTTAGAATTGGCAAAAGTTTTTGAAGGCCACAGCGTTGTTGGTCTCTCCTGTCAATCAAGAATCGTAAGCGAGGCACTTTGCTGTAGAGTTGAAGTGGACCAGATAATGTTCTGTAGGTGATATACTAAACTCTTTTGTGCTTTTTACAGTAATTAAACATTTTGTTTGTCCCGCCTATGCATTTGTTAAATAGCCATGAATAGTATTGATCTAAACATACCAGGAAAAAACACCCATATTTAAAGCTGTTTCTTTGAGAGAGAGGTATTCTCAAATATAAATAGTTTGTTCCTGCTTTTTACCTCTCTTCACATTAAAAAAGCTGACTCTAGCATGAGCACCATTACTTATGATCAGTTCCTGTGAAATAATGCTTTGTTTTTCATTGGGTTTTTTTCAGGTGATAGGTATTTTGCCCCTGATGACCCGCTCGAATTTAAGTCACACCAGTGGTTTGGTGCATCTGTGAGATCTAAAAATGATAAAATTCTGGTGAGTTTTGCTTTTCATGTTTTTCCAGAGAATATTGTAATAGAAACACTAGAGGGAGGCTTCCAGCAATTAAACTTAAAACAATTAAAGAGAACTTTACAAGTTCACTTGAGTTCCTTGTTAAGAGTCAGCTGGCTCTTGTTAAATGTTTCTAAGGGTAGTCTAGTATAATTCTTTATTAAATAAAAGTTTAAATGTTTCTGGAATTCTTATGGAAGCTTGTGAATATTCTTCTTTCAGAAAATGCTTTTAAAAAAAAATCCTGCCAATAGATTCTCCCCCCCTCCCAGAACTACTATTGTTACCTGCTGAGCTGCTTGGAAAATGCAAAATCAAATGAGGTTTTCTCTTAGTAATGACAATTGTGTAGATAGCATTTTGTTGATCTACCAGAATCTGTGCATGTCAGTCACTATTCCATGAGCATGATGAGAACCCTTAGGATCTACCCTTAGGCATTTTGAAGAGACATCTGTTTTCAAGACTGTTCTTTTCCCCAGGCTTGTGCCCCCTTGTACCACTGGAGAACTGAAATGAAACAAGAGCGAGAGCCTGTAGGAACTTGCTACCTTCATGATGGATCTAAAGCTGTTGAGTATGCTCCCTGCAGGTCAAGTATGTATAGAACTCTGTTTCATTCGTTGATTTGCTTTCTCTTAAGTTATAGCATGTTATGTGGCTGTCTAAAGAGGAATTTATTTAATGTATGTTCCCTCTTTCCATGATGTTTGGCTTCTAGCCTTGTGTAGCCTATGGGAAATGAGCCTGAACCCTAGATCTGAACACTCCTGGAGTTTACATATAGTTATTCAGCATGTGGATTCAAATTTCACAGGTCACCTCTTTCTTTATCACAGACAAAATTAAAACCTTGGGGTTTTAAAGGACCCAGGTAAGAAATTAACAGCTTGGAGATCACCTCAGCAAAATAAAAAGTGAGCACATTTTTCTGCTGAGATGTGAATGTTGGTTTATTGCATCCATAGTTCAGCTGGAGTACTATTATCCCAGTAATGATTTCAGCTTTTAAAAATCCTGTTGATGATTCTCATGATACCTGATTTGTTCCAGGGTAGAGCAAAGTATCTGGCAGTGACCTACTAAAGAGAATATCTGTGTAGCACATTATGTGTAGAAAATGAAGTTCATATCATGGTTCATTACTTCTGCAAAGCTGTGTAAAGTGATTAAAAGTAGCTGTAAACTCAGAAGGCAACATTTGCTTTTAAATGACCCCTGATTTTTTTTTTTGGTGGGGGGGGGGGGCGGTTGAATGCTCAACTGCCAAAATTACCAGCATTATTTTCAGGGTACTTTGCAACTACAAATTCTAGTTAGTTAGTAGGCTCTGGTACAGCTCAGGATAAAAACTGGATTCAAGATGTCTGAAATTGCACAGGGAAGCTCATTTTGAAAGCTGTTACCATATTTTTACTTAACTTCTGAATCACTGAGAATTCTGAAGTACATCACCGAGTACATTCCATCATCCTCTAATATAAAAAGGGCTTAAATAAGTTTGACTGCATATTTAACTAGTAAAACTATTATAGATAAGGGTCTGCCAATATTTCATTCCCAGAGATGTATATTTAGGGAATGAACTCAGCCATAAACATTATCTCTGGGCTGTGTCCTGGTATGCAAAGTATCAGCCAAGGAATGTTTATGGGTTTTTTTCATTTTCTTTTTTAAGATGTGCTTGAAATATTTTTTGTTGTATTGTTTTCTGTTGTTTTTTGCATCAGAAAAGAAACGTATATTATCTCTATATCTCTCTGATATTTCACCTTTAAATTTTACAAAAGCTCTTTTTTCCCCAGTGTCTTTGAAGTGTAATTCAAAAGAAACATTTACATCTATTAGGAAAAAACTAGAACCAATCTGAAATTAACTGCATTGTTATTCAAGTTGAGGGAGAGGACAGAATAAGTGTTGTCATATCAGAACATAGCATTAAACCACCTAATTAAAAGCCAGTTTTGACTGTTGTTGTTGCATGATAGATGTGTGAAAAAAGAAACAAAAACATCATCAAAAAGAAACCAAAACTGACATGGATTTCAGGTTTGACCTGATCCAGAAATTATCCAAAAATGCTTGACTAAACTGGATCATTAAAATTATGTTCTCGTTACAGTTTCTCTTTCTTTCTTTTTTTGTAGCAATTATTGATGCTGATGGACAGGGATTTTGTCAAGGAGGATTTAGCATTGACTTTACAAAGGTAGGTAACATGCTTAGCTATAGCCTATTTTGATGAGTTAGCAGACAGTTATATGTTACAGCAATTCCAACATGGACCTTATACTGGCAGTTGGGTCTGTTTTTAAAATATATATGCAAGCTTCCTAAAAGTCAAACTTAAAAAGCTAATCAGAAATAACTTAGGAAGAAACCAATATTATGGTGTGTAAGGATTGTATTGTTTGTGCGTCTCAAATGCAAAGTCAATCCAGGTGCAATGCCCTACCAATGTTACTGTGTTCTCAGTAGGTCTTTATGTCCCCAGGATATTTGTGCTGAGATGCTCCCATTGGTGTTCTGGAGGGAATCATGTGAAGGGAATTGGACAACTATTGGCTATATTTTGTTCTAATATAGAATATAGTAACTCCAAAGTGGGAAAGTTCTAATTGTAGTTAAAGTGAAGATCAGGATTCCATCCTATTTACAGAGTAAGTTAGTCTGCCTAAATGGACGAGTAACTTCAAATCCATATTGGAGGATTTTCTGCGAGGAGTTTAGGATAGAACAGAGGTAAAAACCCAACTCAACTGTGTAGTGATATGCCTTAAGGAATATTAAGCCTGAATCAATAAGGCATGTACACATATGCATAACCTTAAGCACATGAGTAGTCTCAGTGACTTAATATGCACATTTTTGCTGCATCGCGCCAATTCAGGAAACAAAAAATGTTTATAACTCATTCCTGTAGCTGATTTTAACAGTTCAGGGCAGAGGAGTGAGAAAAGTCCCGTTTACCTATGGAGAAAGCAGTTATGTAATTGACTTCTGGCAAAACTACCTTATAGGGTTTTGTTTCAACTATTTTATTGTCTTTCAGCTATGCATGTAGGAGGGTCTATTAAAATGCAATGATTCATTTGGTTCAGACTTTAGTCGGGTTACGTGTGGGTGGGGGGAGAAGGAGCAGAAAAGTTTATTCGTATAATGTTGCTAAACCTCTTGAACTTCAACAGGGTTTGCATATAATTCTTTCTTTTTCATTTTTAATAGACCCATGTAATCTCAGGTCTTAACTAGTGATATATTGTCAAAATATAATAATGTATTTGGGTCACTGCTGCTACAACAGCTGTCTAAGATCCAGCTCTATTTTTTATAATTATTATTATTATTATAGTCTCCTTTTATGTTCTTCAGATGCATTCATAATAAAGCTGCCTTTCTTTTTTTCTTTTGCCTTTAGGGAGACAGGGTACTTCTTGGAGGACCTGGAAGTTTTTATTGGCAAGGTGAGACAAACCATTGAAGTGACATAAGAGGCTAAGTTCTTTTGATCTCTCCCTTCCACTGCAACGCTTATGCTCACTTATCCACCAACTAGCGAACTTCCCAGGAATTGGGAAACTAGAAATATTCTTCCTTTGTCTTTCAAAATTTTTGCTGTGTAGTTAATGTAGCTTTAGAAAAAAATTATGTAAAAACCAGTAGAAAAAAAGTATCCTGGCCTTTTAACTATATTTGTGTTATTTTCAAGTTATTATTGCATGTTCCTAAATGACAGATGAGGATGCCTCAGGGAAGAATTTCCCTATTCACCCAAAATCTTAAGGGGGAGTTTTCCCCTTCATCTTTTGACACAGACATCTAATTTTTCAGTTGCAAAATTTTATGACCCCCAACAAGGAGAAGTACTTTTCATTACCATGGGAAACAAAGACATACTCTACCCCCTACATTTGTCTACTTTGCATATTTAAATACCTTTACTTCTATGTCATCACCTTCTTGTGGAAATTTTCACATACCTTCCAGTGGAACATCAGGCTAGAAGCACCCGCTTTTGAATGTAAAAGCCAATTGTTTGTTGCTACAGTGAATGGCTTTAAAGCACCCTCTTTGTATGAAAGGTGCTTTAAGCATACAAAGGTATGTTTATGAAAGGTATTATATGATCTAGGTGCCTGAGATGCTAGGTCCTTGACTTAGAGACAGAGACAGCATCTTTTCCAGTTGTATGTTTCTTTATATTTGTGCAAACCCTAAACAAATCTGAATTATTAAAAATATTTTGCAGCCACAGCTGCTGCTTGTCCAGTGACACCTGAAATGTGCTCCATGAAGATATGAAAATATTTTTACAAAAACACAAAAAAGCCCTAAATTAGTTCTGAATGTAACAATGAATTTAAGGATAAATCTAAAAAAATAAAACTGCCCTAAACTTGTCATTTCTTCCATATGTTTTGACCTAAATTCTGAAATGCTGGAAGTATATTGTCTCTTCCTTATATACCGGTCCTGTGGATGTGTGCTATATAAAGCATGTGCTGCTTCCATATAACTGTGTTTGTTCTTAAAGTCTTAGCTTAGTGTTTGAGAAGAATGTAATCAAGTCACCATCTAGTGGCTATAGAACTAAAAATAAAGAAGATAGTAATATTTTATGATTCTCCTGTTAGCCTCCTGTTTGTTTCTCATATAAGGCTTTAATATTGTGATGCTCAGACAAAGGTAATGCTCCAGTTCTTCAAAGGCATAAGAACATACTAACTTTCAAATATTGGAGTGTCCCACTGAAGTCACCAAGTACATCCAGTGGTGGCAATAGTGGGGGAGGGAAGAGTGGCGCAAACTAGCAGCAGCTCTGCTTCTGGCCTGGCCACCACTGATTCACCAGCAGCACAGCCATTGATGCTGCCTTGTGTGTGGATGCTGCCCAGGGAGCTCAAGTGCCCAGTGAATGCCTTTGAGTGGTGATATATTTCTTTGTTCAGCAGGACTGTTTGAATGCTTAAAATTAAATAGAAACACATATCTTTGCAGGATTAGGATATGTATGCTTTATGTCTCTTAATGGATACTATTAGTGAGCTCTGATAGCTTTCCCCTTTTGTTTAGGGATACGTCTATTGGTTTAGAATGAAACGTTTTCTAGTCAAATCCCATTACTCACAGAAAGATTACCAGAGACCATGTCTATTTGCTTAAATGTATTTTCTTTCTCCCCAGGTCAACTCATTTCTGACAGGGTGGCAGAGATTGTGGCTAAATACAGCTCCAAAATTTACAGTATAAAATATGAAGACCAGTTAGCAACCCGGGCAGCAAGTGCTACTTTTGATGACAGCTACTTGGGTGAGTAGTTTGGGGATGGATATATATAATTAATATCAATCTTTTAGGCATATTCAATGGATCAGACTCTGAGCCACTGTGCAAAATTAATAGCAAAAACAAGAAACCACACACAGAACTGACAATGAGTTCAACAGGAGCAGATTTTAACCCCTATTAAAGTTGATAAAGCAACTGATAGAATCATTCCTACCTGTTAAATTGCTTGTGTATTTACAAAAAATTTAATGGGTTTAATATTGGCTATAGGAAGTGACTTATCAACTAATCTTGAGGTCAGTAAGGAAATCTATGCCTATTAGGTAACATAAAAATCTTTTGCTTTTGTATTTGTTTCAATGTGTTTAATTGCTTTTTTCAGTGACTTGATTAAATTTGTTTTTGAAAAATTTGTGATCATAAATATCAGTGAAATGACACTATTTATTAGTGCAGTCCACATACCCCCCCCCCCCCACACTTTGGTTTCAGTGACATCACAGCAGTTATTTTTACAGGACACAGAAAATCCCCTAATCACCTGTAAGGATGAGAAAAGTTAAACGATTAATTGTTTATAACTGACAAGACCAGTGATAACTGGTTAGCTTACCAGTTATTGTGTGGGGTGGGGTGGAGCACAGTCTGGCAGGGAAAGAGGGGAAGGGAAGTCACACATGTTCCTGTGCTCCAATGGCAATAAGAAGACAGCAGAGCAGGCAGAATGGAGGGAGGAGGAGCACAGGTGACTAGTACCCATAGTCTATGAGGTTAAAGATGAAAATAGCAGGCAGCCTAATGGCTCATCAGTTAAGCAGTTAACTGCTCATTCACAGATGCTCCCTCCCTCATGGGGAGGGGCTTCACCTGAGCTATATTGTCTGGCTGGGCTTGCCATTGCTGCCTTCCCATTCTGTCAAAGGGCCCTGGAAACATCTTCCAGCACCAGCTGTGTCCAAGATGCTGTGTTTTCTGTTAACCATTGTAATTAGAGAAAGCTAAATGGATAATTTTTTTAACAATATTTACATCCCTAATTGCCCATTTTAATTTTTACTAAAATTTTAAATTGCAAAAGTGAAGGAACAAGACTCATTCCATCTCTACAGGACAATCTAATTTAAATCCATCTGGCATGGAATCATAGGGCACCTATACATGTGCCTGAGGCCTGCTCCACCATGCTCTAATTAGATTAACCGAGTCTGCTGGAAAGTGCTAATTAGGATTCTCCAACAGCCTTGGCATCACATGTACTCAGTGTCCCTGTGCTTCAAAATCACAGTGGGGCACATTAGTTAAAGCTCTTTGAATGAGCTTTAGTTAAAGCGTCCCTATCACCTTTTTGAAGCGCAGGAGGCTGAACACACAAGATGCTGTGGACACTTTAATTTAGAGCAGCTCCTGAGCACCCTTGCCCCCCCTTCCCCCAAACCAGAGCATGTAAAGATGCCCATACTTGCTTGTTCTAATCAAAGGATCTTTTTACTACTGTGCACTGCAAGTGCTGGTTCAAATTGTATTAATTTCTTGTATTCTTCAAAACTCAGCCTCTTCAATGAACTTCAAAAAAAGAGAAAAGCGAAAAAAAGACCTTTCTAAGTAGATCTTGGTACTATGGAAGCAGAGGGTGGTTTCAGTGTGTGACCCCAACCTGACTTAAAATAGATAAGCAAGCAAAATGGCTAGGTTTTGCAATATTTGATAAGCTAAAACATTAAGAGTGTAATGTTTAAATGCACTGAAGCATTGTAGTATTCAGTGTATAGTGAATAAGGAGGAATTGTTGCTTAGAAACATATGCTGAAATCCTAATGACAGAATAATTTTAAGGAGTTTTTTTTATCTCTGGTCAGGATCCTCATTGCTTTCAGTGTGAGCTCTGTATTCCAAGAAGGGGTACAATCTAGATCTCACCTTCTTACTGCATATGCAAACAACTGAAGATTAAGGGCTTGCTTCAGGTGCATTTTTATACTGTTTACACACAAACTACTTATGAGATTTCTTTAAAGTATGAACATGTCCAGAACCAGACCAGTTAATTCTGTAAAAATATATTAAAATATATGTTCCTGTTACTGCTTCAGAAAGTTATCAAGGAGTACTGCATGTTTTAACATTCCAGTAAAACCTTTATCTAAAAAGGAACTGCCCTCTTACGCTTTTATACTAAAATTTAGCCAGATTATCTTTTTCATACTGTGTTGCTAGTGCTAACTGAATTATAATTTCTGCTCATTCCCCTTCCCATGTTAAGCAGGGTAGCAGTTTTGTAGCTGCAGTACCTTTAAAGAAACAAGTATCACTTTTCAGGAAGTGACTTTGGTGTTATAGCTTACTGTTTACTGTGTAACTAACTGTACTGAACTAATGGCCTTATACTGTGGTTGAGAGAGTAAGGAATTTATTATTCTGGGAAGTAAGTTCTCAAAAAAAAACATCCTGAAGTCTCAAAGTCATTAAAGAATCCCAGGGGTTTCTTTTCCCAGAAGTAGATGGAAAGTACAGGACAGTGCAAGTATAGTGTCCTAGGAAAGACAAGGAGAATTTTGCTGTGTTGCCCAAGTCGAGCAGAGTGACTGAGGAGCCAAGATTTCTTGATTTACACTCTCTTGACTTCAGCAACAACTAGGTGAACCTGGGAAAGGCCCATGGGCCTCTCTTTTTCTAGCTGTGAAATTGTTATTCTGTCCATCTTCTTTAAATGTTAGTAAAGCTCATTAAGAGTATTTTACTACCACCTTCTGAATCCACACAGAACTAAATTACCTGTTAAATCATTTGACTGTTATTTGATCTTTTCTTCCAAGAATCAGGTTAAGTATTCACACCTCAAATTGGGCTCTTTCTGCAGTTATACAGTTTTTATTCTGAACTCACAACTGTGCTCCTTTACTGACTTCAGGAAAATCCTCATCTGCTGAGTCTAAAACTGGGATAATTCTATATTCTGCTACTGTTTCAGATATGAACTTTTTGCATTGTTACTAGTAACCCCTGCATGACTTCTTTGACCACTTAATAGCTTTGTCATGAATTCAGGAAGAGATTCCATTAGAAAAAAGTCCAAATCGCCTCTAAATTGTGGAATACTGGAAAGTTCAGACCTAGATTCAAATACAGTAAAAGCTTTATCTGGCATGAATGAGGTAAGGAGGGTGCCAGTTTTCTAAAAATTTCAGTTATCTGAGAGTTGTACCTATCAAGGAAGAGAGGAGTGCAGTGTGGCCACCCCCACCAGGCAGAGCCCAGAGCTGCCCTGGCCCCAACCTGCAGCGGCAACCTCCCCATCTCCATGCAGATCCCTTTCCCCCACAAACTTTCCCGTTGGGGGGGGTAAGGGGAGGTGCATGCATGCATGGGTGCACATGCACGCTCAGCACCCCCCCCCCGAATTTTTTTTTCTCCTGCCACCTATGTGGGTATCAACTAGAAGAGCTCCCAGCAGCTCCTCTATCTGCAGCATCATTAACTAATGTAAACAACAGAAATACTTGATGCACATGTTGGATAGACTTGGCAAAGATTCCAGTTGCTAAAGTATTGGGGGATATTGGAAATTCTGGTTAAATGCCAGTTAACAGTTTTTACTGCATATCAATTCTGGACTGTCTCTAGGAGCTATAAGCTCATTTGAAGGTGGGCATTCTAGTCTCAAACTAGTAGATTTGATGTGTCAAAATAAGCTTACACATTTTCACTGAAATTGACACATCTCTGATACATTTTGACTGTTTCCTTTTTTTTAAGTACTGCTAGCATAATCATCTATAGGCATTGCTGGTTACTATACGTTGAGGTCATGCAGGGGTGCTGTGGAATCTTTATGATAAATTTTAAGAAATGACAAAAAGAAGAATGGATACACTTACAGTGACTTTCTATTCTGCTATTTTTGTCGATCAGGTTATTCGGTGGCTGTTGGAGATTTCAACGGTGATGGGATAGACGGTATGGCTCTCATTTGTATTTTGTTGATGGGTAATGTTAATGTATTCAGCATGAATCGGGCTTCAAATAATATTAATACAAACGCATACAATATGTTATGTATAACACTTGGAATGAATAGCTAGATTCGGGCAAAGAAAGCCAGCTTGAGCCATCATCCCATGTTTAAATGGAATCTGAACGTTACACAGTTATACTCCCTTATGTTGCAGATTTCGTATCTGGGGTCCCAAGGGCAGCAAGAACTCAAGGCATGGTAGGAAATTCTAAATATTAAACATGAAAATAACTTGGGATAAGTAATAATAAAAGGAACCAGTCAAAATCTAAGAAATATTAATTCCCTGACTATTTTTCCTTTGTAGGTGTCTATTTACAATGGGGAAAACATGTCTTTCTTGTACAATTTTACTGGAGAGCAGGTATGTAATTCTTTGATAGCTATGACATGGGTGGGGAGAGAGCAATTGTAAAAAATAAAATAAGTAAACCAGGGCATTATGTTGATTGCTTGAAGAGATGTGTTATGGTTAGAGACCTACCTAATTCGTTGGGGGCTGCCCCCTGGTTTCATGGGCAGAACATGGGCTTGGGCAGCCATTTCATGGGTAGAGCAAGGCGGCCTCTCCCATACCTTTGGCCAAGGGGCCCCATGGCCTTGCCCCTCATCACTAATTGGCTGAGAGGACTGCCAGTCACGTGGCCCCATCCCTTACCAGTAATTGGCTGCAAGGCTATTTATTGTGGAGCCTCACCCCTCACCACCGGGTGGAGATGGGTGGGGAATGACAGGCAGTCTTCACAGCCAATCAGCAGCAAGGGGCAGTGAGGGAGTGGCAGCCATCTTGCTGGCAGTCCTTCAAGCAGGCAGCTCCCCACCCCCACCCCAGCGTGCTCCAGCAGGATGCTAGGAACTGCTTGCTCCCTCTGGGGACCAGCATTTTATTTTTGGTAAGGTTTTTTTTCCCTGGTGTATTTCATGGATATTGCCTGGATTTTGCAGAATCTGTGAAATCGTGAATTTGGTAGGTCCCTAATTATCATATTAGTTCATATGCTAAAGGTAAGTGCCACAGGGTCTATGTGAGTGCTGAGTACTGCAATATAGTGCAAGTTCAAGCATAATGAATGCTAAGTACTGCAACATAAGTGTCTCACAGGGTTTGGAATCAGTTCCATGAGTTCCCTTTATTATGATACCACTCAGACATTATCGTCACTGAAACCCTTATCAAAACTTCTGGAGTCCTTGCACTAGAGTTGTACAATTGTGATTTCACATTGAGGCTCTGGAGACTGTTGAGTGTTTCCCATACTTCAGCAGCCGTGTCTCATAGAAAGCTGACATAGATGAAGAATTTCAGCATCACCTCAAATGTGTCAGCGCAGCCTTTGGACTCCTGAGGAAATGGGTGTCAAAGATCGCAATGTCAGATCCAAAACCAAGCTTATGGTTTATCAAGCAGTTGTGATCCCTACTTTACTGTATGGAGCTGAAATGTTGACAGCATACAGGAGACCCCTCAAGTCACTGGCGCAGTACCATCAATGCTGGAAAAACCTTTGAATCCAGTGGCAAGAGAGACACACCAACATTAGCATCCTCTCACAAGCAAATAGTACAGTCAAGTTGCATCTTACGCATATTTAACTTAGGCAAATTCAGCTATACGCGCCTGGCTGCTGGGGCTGGCTGCCGGGTGCTGGCCAGGGCACGGCGTGTAGTGCGATGCCGCGTGGTACTGCCTGCACGAGCCTGCACATGCTGGCATAGCTGGGGGGCGGCAGCTCGCTCACACTCAGCTGGCTGCCCTGGGGGGACGAGGTGGCAGAGGAGGAGAGGAGCGAGGAGTGTGGCGGGAAGGGCAATTTCAACTATATGTGATTTTTCGCCTTATGCGCTGACTTCAGCACATAACCCCTGCGTAAGATGCGACTCAACTGTACAAGCATCGAGGCGATGATCATCCGCCATCAACTTTACTGGGTCAGTCGCATCTTCCGGATGTCTGACTCCAGACTCCTGAAACAAGTTTTATTCTTCCTGCTCAGTAGAGGTATACTTGAGGAGGGCAGAGAAGCACGTCAAGGATGTTCTGAAAGCCAACTTGAAAAAATGCAACATCCATGTCAACTCATGGGAGTTGGCTTCAGATGAAGCAAAAATCTGCTGCAGGGATCTCAGTACTTTGAAACCTTACGATGACAACAGGGGACAAAAAAGTGGGAGCAGCAAAAACAGCATGCCATGGACTGAATCAAGAAACCAAAGTCACCCACCCCACATGAAAACACTTGCCTAAGTTGCAACGGAGTCTGTCGATCCTGGATCGGCCTAGTCAGCCATTTTCAGACCCACAGGGAAGACCGTCATCTTTGACTGCAAGGGATAGCTGAAGAGGAAGAAGAAGATACTATTGTGTTAACACTGATTGGTTAAAGAAGAATGAACTGCTGAATTTTACTAATGGGGGAAAGAGATGTCGTCTGTTCTGTGTATTTTTATGAAAACACGTTTTTTTTTTAACAGAGAAGAGGAATGAAAAAATAATGGTAACAATGTAATTGAAACATATGTACCCAAGATGACACTGATATGTACATTTCCTAATCAAAATATTTGGATCAAAGGAAAAGCTTTTGTCTTTAATCTTGTTTTGCAGATGGCTGCCTATTTTGGATATTCTGTAGCTGCCACTGATATTAATGGGGATAAGTAAGCATTGTTTCCTTCTTCCTCTACTTCCAATTTTTTCTAGGAAAGTGTTTGTTTCTGTGTTAAAATTTTTGAAAAACAAAATTATCAGTCTTTGACAGAATGTTTCCCGTAACTTCTCATTTCTCTCCCTCCTTGGCTTCTTTATTAAGAGCTATTGGTACAGCACACCATCTTCAGCACTCAATATTGGCTTTTTACAGTTTGCTATAAAACTTTATCTGCACTGGTCAAAGAGTATACATGTGCTTTGTTCATCTCTAAACGCCTTTAAATTATAACTGAATCGTAAAGGCAAAACTGAAATACGCATCCTAACAGTGACTTTGCAATTGTATGTCTAAGGCTGATGGAGAATGTGGTAGGGTCGAGCCTGATGTTTGTTATAGTTTTTTTTACTTGTTTTTTGTTTATTTTTAATACAGTTACATAGATTTGTTCATTGGAGCCCCTCTATTTATGGATCGTGGTTCTGATGGCAAACTTCAAGAGGTGGGTCAGGTCTCCATTTGTCTTCAGCTTCCCTCTGGAGGTTTTCAGATCACAAAACTGAATGGAATTGAGATCTTTGCAAGGTTCAGCAGCTCTATTGCACCTTTGGGGGACCTAGACCAAGATGGCTTCAATGGTAAGACACCAGTATTATGTCCATAGAGTAAATCTGGGCAGGAAGATGGAAGAAAATACTGCATACACACATTAGTCTTTTTAGCTGTGAATGAGTGTTGGACAATTGGATGTCTTCAATGTCTATATGCTAATCCCAAGAATGGGAATTGCAAGTACATCAAGCAGAGGCTATACAAGTTCAGTTGCTGCATCCTGGTTTACATCAGATGCTCTGTTTAACTTCTGGGGCATTTTTTCAGGAATAAATTTATCATGTATGCCCTTCCAACAGTAATTTAGAAGGATATCTCTGGCAGAGCTTTGGTACTTCCCTTTTATTCAAAAAAATCTTTTTGAAGTACCAGGTATAGAAAATCAAAGATGACCTGGATGAAGTACATTTTATTGGTTAAGAATTTTTCAGTAAAAGGAGTTTTCATCTGAAATACTAATTCATCAAACCTGAAACGTTTTATGAAAAAAGTCTCCGCTTGAATGAATCGCTGCAACATGTCAAACCAGGTGACCTAAGAGCTGAGCATCATGGGGATCTGGATAATGTACAGTATCTGGTTCTGGTGCCAAGCCTGGTGTGCAGCTGGAGTAGGTGGAAGCCTTTGCATAATAATCTGGTTGGTTTTGGTTAGTAGCCCAGGAACAGACAACAATCTGACAGTGTCAGGCAGTATCTGTAAGACATCCTAAACAGATTTTTTTTGTTTATTTTGAAAAGTTTATTTCCAAAACCAAGTATCCTGGGATTTCAATTATGCAAAAAAAAAAAAAAATTCTTTTACTTTAGTCCCAATTCTTTATGAAACATTTTCTAAAAACAAAGTCATTTTTTGGTAAAAACAGAGATTTGGTTTCTTGCCTAGCCTTAGTATGTTAATTCTTCATGAAACCATTGGAGATTGGATACAATCTGCAACCTTTTACTTTTTTCCATCATTATAGTTTAGAAACAGTCATAATAGAACATAAATTAAGAAATACAGCAAGATCTAAAAAACATGACTAAGGTAATTTTCCCCATGAAATTCTTCTTGGGTACCAGAGGAAAAATTGGCTTGAAACCAATATTAACATGAACTTTACAATGTATTTTCATAAATAAGGGTTAAGGTATAGGTTTTAAATGGGTATGTGTTTTGCTGCCCAAGATATTCTACACCAGTGAGTTCAGAAACATTTTTTGGATTGCAGACATTTATATACAAGTTTAATTACACATTAGTAAGGTAAAAGCTGAGAAGTCTTGCAGAATGCGGTTATCAGATGAGATGACACAAATGGTATTTTCTGCTCTATTTATGATTCACAGATAGATTTTGTGGTCATATTTTTTTAATGTCATTTACTTTATTGGCTAAAAAGTAACAGTAAAGTCTTAATTTTTTAACTTAGTTGTGTTTTTATAGGATCATAGAAATCATTTTAATTATTTGCTTTTTTAGTTCTGTTTCATCCTGTGATGGTTAAAATTAATCAGGAATGGGATAGAGCTGAAATCTCTGCTGCTTTGCTCAGAATAACACAGATGATTCTTAAGGTCGTTTAAGATGATGCTGCTGTTTTAAAGCTATGAAGCTTTCTGCAAATTTGCATGGAATTATGTAATATCTGTTGTGTTGTTTTTTAAAATATAAATGCTTTCATTCAAAAACAGTGGAGTTCTTGAACCAGTTGGGGAGCATTAAATGTTGATTGTATATGCACTTTGAAAGCTCACTTTTTAAAAGTATTCCCTGGAAGGTATCTGATTAGTATTTTGTTTTGTTTTATCATTCACTGCTAATACAAGTGCTCTCCAATTTAAGACTCGTGAAATGGAGCATAATTGTATTAATTTAACATTGAGCCTGTGGCGTATTGACAGGCTTTCAGTAGTATATTTTGGGCTCTAACATTTTCTCTTGTATTACTCTGGTTTAAGTCCACTAGAGCTATTTGTAAATATCACAACCTCTCAATAAGTGTGAACGTATTAATGAAACAGGCAGATAATCCCATTTCATTTGGGAACTTGTTTCCAGTAGAGTCCAGTATTGGGAGTTTAAAACGTTTCCCTAAAACACTAAAAATGCATATGAATAGGCTGTGCTAGGTCTGCAGTTACTCAAGCAGCTCAGTTCATTTTTGGGTCATTCTAGACAATCCCAGCATTTTACAGGTTTTATTAAACCAAGAAGGTGTTAATTAAACCTTTTCAGAGCACAAATTATGTGCTGAAACATCATGCACTGCGACTTGTTATTGCATATCTGCTAAGAATTGTTTAACACCAGGACAAAGTTCTCTTTGTTTTATATATGGGGATGCTGAGACTATTCCTTTTTTATTCACAGATCTTGCAGTTGCTGCTCCTTATGGTGGAGAGGACAAGAGAGGTTTTGTTTATATCTACAATGGAAGAGCAACTGGTTTGAATACAGTGCCATCTCAGATCCTTGAAGGACAGTGGGCAGCCCGTAACATGCCACCAAGTTTTGGGTACTCATTAAAAGGAGCTACTGATGTGGACAAAAATGGATATCCAGGTGCTTTTTTCTATTTATGACTTTTTTGTATTTATGACTTTAAATCACATTATGGTGATTGTTCTAATCACAAATATCTCGCCTAGTGACCAGCAGCAGTACTGCTCCTAAACACAGATTTCTCTTTTGTTTCTAGATTTGATTGTTGGAGCATTTGGTGTTGACACAGCTGTTTTGTACAGGTGGGTACAGAACACACATTCTTAGTTAAGTTCAGTCATGGGAAATGCTCAGTGGTATTCATCATTTACAATGGGTTTGTCCAGTTTTTGAATGTTCAGGGGCAGCATGCCACACAGGTCATGGGTCCTTGAACTGCCCATTGCTGGGAACAGGACAGACCCCACAGCAGCATCCCTGCTTCCCAGAAAAATCGTCCTGGAGTTTGATTTACACCCAAGCCTCTCTCGGCATGAAGTGTCTAATCTCCAACCTGGTTTGCCCAGACGTAAGCGAGCTGTTAAAAACCCACTGGTTCGCCGACCCACAGGATTCCATCAATTTACTAAGGCATTTCTCCCTTGGTTGGGGGTAGCTAAATTAAAAAGGACTATTTTAAACATTTTAGGAGTTATGAAGGAATTTTTTAATGCCAGCACCGATGCTTTAGGAGCTCTCAATGATAAAATCACCCAGATAGGGCAGATGGCTACCAAAAACCGTATGGCTTTGGATTATCTCCTAGCCGCCCAAGAAGGGGTATGTGCGGTTGTAAACCATACTTGCTGCACCTGGATCGATCAGCACCAACAAGTGGAAAAAGACCTCTGCATCTTTAGGAAACAGTTGCAGGTGATCCATTCAGTTGCAGAGGAGAAACCCTTCAATTGGTGGGGGTGGCTACCAGATGTAGGGGAACGGTGGAAATCCCTGCTCAAATGGTGTATTCTAAGTTTTTATTATGCATTTTTGCCATTTTCATTATTATCCAAATGACTCTGTGTTGCTTACGTTGCTGTTTATCAAAAACTGCCCAGAGTGTTTCTAGGCTCTCCAAGACCAAGCTGCAAATGATGGTGCTCAGGGAGGTGGCCTATAAGTGTGAACGACAAAAAAATGTCCAAGGCTTTATGAATATAGAGGTGTAAGCACAAGCGCTTACAAGGGGGGGAATGATGAGGAATGGAAAAGTACTGAAAGGAGTGTATACGTGTTGGGACAGGATGGGAGATATGGGTGAAGGCCGAGCAGGAACAACACGGTGGCCTTCAGGATAAGCCCCAGAATTCCCAGCCCCCAAAGCAACAGGAGCAGTGAGGGGAGTGGCACCTGGGTGGGACCCCACAGGCTGCACATTAACTCCTTATTGACCAGATATCGCCCACAGGCCCCAGTTGAACAGCCCTAATTTACATAATAAAATAATAGCAAGAGAGGCTGAAATTCTGTATTGAAGAATGATGTAGATAAGATGGTTGCCTTGTTCTTTTTTTACTATGTAAATGGGTAGTTCTTAATCTGTTAGTCACCTCTGCTAAATGAATTCAGACCTGAGATAAGATACAGAGCTTCTTTCATGGCTTCCCTTGAGTGGCACTCTCCAGATGTCAACATATATAGAAAGCTACTGCTTTCTAAAAAGAACAGCTCCATTCTCATCCTTGAAAATGTTTCTGCCCCCTGTTAATTTTAGGGGAGCTTTTCATAGACTTTATTTAGCTGTGCAGGAGAATAAGGTCCCCTTTTATACTTTTGCTCAGATTGTGACATTGACTAAGAAGGAAGCACAGAGGCTGTTCCTACTTTTCTTTAATTGCGTTTCTTTTCTTTCTCTCATCCCACCCTCTCTTTTTAGCTTTGTTAAATACTGTCTAGCAGATAGCTTTCCCTGTATGAAGGAGTCTGTGATACACTGTTGTGAGTTGTGTTCACACTAATATGTTTTGCTTTCCTTACAGGGCTAGACCAGTTATAAGTGTGCATACTTCTCTAGAAGTTACCCCAACCATTCTAAATCCAGAAAGCAAAACCTGTCAACTGTCAGAGTCTGGTCCAAAAGTTTCCTGGTAAGCTACTTGTTTTTACTTAAACTTTCTTTCTGATCAGGTAGGAAGGTATAATCAACTTATTAAATAAATAAATATTGCCTCAATATCTTGACAAAGAACAGTAAGCACACTTAGGACAAATCTAAAACCCACAGAAGCAATTGGAATGGTTGCTTTTGACTTCAGTGGTTTGTAGATCTGACATTTGCTTTATACCTTTGATGCGTAGATTGCAAATTCATATTGGACAAAATAAGATATCCCCAAGTAAATTGTTTCACAGCTGAACATCTGTATGTCAAAATGCAGAGTTCTCTTTTACTTTTAGAGGTGACACCAAGAGTGAAGGGAGTAAATGAATGATTAATCACTAGCAAGTCTTCAGCATGTACTTCTATTATTGATACCACTGAGTTAATTTAACTGTTCAGCAACATAAGAGACCATGTGGCTTATACTTTGGTCACTTTACAAACTAGCTACTTCAGTTTTGCTTTTATATCTCAGTCTTTGACTGCTGGCTCCCCCCACCCTCAGTCCTCTGACTTCAATTCTGGGCTTGTCCTTAGCATAATTTGCCAGGGATTCTTACCGCAGTGCTTTTACAATGAGGTCAGGAACCCAAATTCGACTTTATTTCTGGCCTAATCGACTATTTGAAATCCAGTCTTCACCCTTATGCTAATGTAGGCTCAAATAATACATATTTAGCATCACTGTACATCTTTAATTTCTGAATTATGATAGTGGGGAGGCATCTGATTGTCAAAGACAGCTCTAAGTATAGAAGTACTATTCCATAATCCTGTTGAAGACCCTATGATAGAGTTTGAAATGATGAGGTTTACTTCCTACACTTGAAGATTACTGAATAGTTCAGTGTTTTAGTTATTCCCAACACTTGAAAGCTTACTCTTAAACTTCTCAAAGAGTAAAAAAACCCCCATATCTTCTGAAATCTCAATTTTAATATGATTGCTTTTTAATTCTTTTTTGTTTTCCTAAACAGTTTCAAAGTGAAATTCTGCTTAAAAGCTGATGGCAAAGGAAAGCTCCCCAGTAAGCTCAGTAAGTTCTCCTATTAAAAAAAGTTTTCAAATTGTCAGCAAACATTAATCCTGGCCTTAATTGTTTTTTGCTTACTGAAATTTGCTCTTCAGTTACAAACTTAATCTGCTAATGCTGAGTCCACCTTCTACCACCAATCAGGTCAAGGGGACCTGAGGCTTCAGCTGACCAACAAATTTGAGCTTGTGTTAAAACTGAAGTATGTTAAATCCCATTTAGGACAATACGATTTAAGCATATGCAGGTGCTTCGCTTAGTCAGAATTGAGACCATTTGGTCTCCTGCAGGTCAAGATCAGGAATTTGGAATTTTACAAAAAAGTTATCTAAGGCCTCAGGCAGACTTTAATTAAGTATAGGATGGTGTCTAAGGAATTTAATTTTACCTCAGATCTGCAGAATTGCACATTCTGCCATGCCTGATGTTCAGTGAGCACACATGCCTATAGGTGCACGGTCATAAACATGCACACACACTTGCATGCACATACACACATGTATGTATCCGTATATATTTAAAGCTTATCTAAAGTGTGTGTATATATGTGTGTATGTGTATCTA